AACGACTGCTTTGCCTGGGCCTAAGCCACCTTTGCCGCTTTGCCACGAGTGAGTCGAATAGCCCAAAGCCACGCGGCTTGTAGCCACACGACTTGCTGGCCTGCACCAGGTGAAGGGATTCCAAGGCCTTGGCTGACAAGCGCAGAGCCCCCCAGGCTGTGCCTCTGCAGCCCAAAGCACGAGGCCGGGTTCTTCCGCAGGGCGTCTCGATGCGTCAAAGTATCCTCAGACACTCAAACTTGAAAGCCAGACCATGATTGAACCCTTGACCCCAAACAAAGGCCGTGCTTGTTGTGTGTTTGTTTAGCTCTTGCCTCACAAAAAGGAGCCACATAAGAAACGCCCGCGGCGGAGGCCGGCCTTTGTCGCCGCCTGCCACGTGAAAGCGGCCGCGCGCTTTTTGTTTGTTTCCTCGTTTTTTTTCTCCCCCGAGCGGCGATTCCCGACTCGGGCACCGAGTGCTTCCACAACCCCAGCTGCTCCTTCACAAAGCCTCGCATCTTGAAGCGCGCCTCCGTTGGCCGCTGGCGCGGCCGTGGCGGAAGTGAGCCGTCAGAGAAAACTCGCAGAAGGAAACCTGCACTTCTTGGCACTGTCCTAATACAAGTGTCTGGGAAGAGATGACCTGAGGTCACCACCAGACAGAGTTTGATGAAAGTTGGGCAACCATATCCCCCTGTTGTCTACTTAGCGTGAACAAGATGCCCTCCAAAAAAGCACAACAGAGGCTCAAAGCTGGCTTGCGACCAAGTTCGGCCAACTACAGCTCGGTGAAAGTAGATAGCACACCCTCTCCGCTACAGCGTCATCCAGGCACTCTAGGCATAAGGCCATGCACTTTCACAAGCTACAGTTCTGTCATCCAGGCTGCACTTTCACCCACAGATTTCCTCAAGCCCCTGACGAACACCGCTGGAGGGGGAAAACCGTGCCGATTTCCCCATACACTTGCGGCCCCCGGGTGGCGGATTCCCGACGACTGCACGGGCGCGCGACCCGAGCCTCGGTGAGCGTGACGAACGCCGCGTCTACGGGGGAGCCATCTGCAAAAGGCTTGGCGAGGAACTGGCCCAGCCTGCGCACTTTTCATTGAAAAGTTCCCGATTGCCTTTGAGCTTGGCTCAATCTTGGCCTGGGGGACCGGGGGACCAAAACTGGCACGGAATAAAGCGACCATGGTGACCAAGACAAAAGGTACGGGGAGGTGATTTAAAAAAAAAAAAAAACTCCTGATACAAAGTAGGCCTTGCTCGGGCATAGGTGCGCAGAGACTTACCAAGATAGTCCCTCCCCGGAGCGCACTCAAAGCACAGAGCAACTACTTGGGTTTCTGGCAGCTGGTGCGAACCTCAAGTTGCAAGCAGGCTGAAAGCGAAACTACGAATTGCGCTTTTGCACTACTCCGAATACCATACCTTGCCTCCAACGATACACAGGTGCAAAACCTGATGCAAACGGCCAAAGCCTAAGCCCTCCCTTTCCGCGCTTGGCAATCCCGTGCCAAGGCGCATGCCCACAAAAGGATCCAGGGCAGCCTGAGGTGGACCGCGAAAGATCTCTGCTCAAACACACGGAAGGGCACGAACGAACGAAGAAACCTGTCAACTGGCTGTCTTTTTCCTGAGTCCCTTGTGGGATTGTTAGGGGAAACCCAAAAGGAACAACCCACCTTGGGCGCTCCCCGATCGGCCCAATCCATTCCAAATGCGCTCAAGCGGCCATGTTGGCCATATTAAAGTTGAAGAAGCGTAGCCGGATAGCACTGGTCTCCTCAAAACCTCAGAACCGCGGACTCAGAGAAGCTGAGCGCATCTGTGGAGCAAGTGGGAGGAGCAGGCGAGTTCAACAAGCTATCGCAAGTTAAGGCAAGCCCAAATTCGTGCGAAGGAAGGAAATTCCTGGAAAAGGCTTCTCCAAAGTGGAACCGCTGCCATGCTTCTCGCGCATAATGACAAGGCAGACCACCCAGTGACCATCCTAACGCCACCCTGGTCTGCATATTCCTTCACCAAGCAAAAACCAGAAACCAATTGAACATGTGGGGACTCTCTCGAGTTCTTTCTCTCACACACGCAGAGTTGTGTGAATTGAGCGCTCCAAAAGACCCTTAAGGCGCATCTCAGAAGGCGAGAATGTGGCCAGACTCCCTCACCACACGCCCACATCACCAAATGACCCATACGGCGACCGCTATCCAGGCGAAGCGCGCAAGCTCTGCTGATAGCCAGCATCGATGCAACCATCTGCAGCGATGCAGCCATCTGCAGCAATGCAACCATCTGCAGTGATGTTCCACGAGCTGTCCATGGAAGCTCGCGGCGATATGGCCTCAGCCGATACGAGGGACGCTCGCACATTTGTGGGCCTATCATTACAAAGGAATTAACCGACGAGCAGCCACCGTTCACGGGTCTATCGGGCGCTTTCCTTGGCTTTGGTGGAAAAAATGAAATCAGGATCTACTTCTTTGGAGAAGCTGTTGTGTCGAGGTAACTCTGCTTCGGACTGTTTGCTGCGAATGGCAGCTAACTGCTGTGATAAAAGAATGGCTTCCTGACTTCGCAAGAGTGCGTCACAGGAGTTACATCCAGATTTCATTCGTCTAGGGCTTTCCCGGCATTTAGACCAAGATTTAGTTTTTTCGGGCCAGTCCTGCCAGCCGCAAAGTGTTGACTGCATGGGTCGCCTTGCATGCTCGGCGCCACCACTGGCGCACACCGGACAGGCTCATCGACCCGAGGGAAGCAGTCAGGAGTGGAGGCGCTCAGAGCTGAAGAACCCAGCCACAAGCAGCCACAACTGGAAGCCCGAGCCTGCCACACGCCTGTCACCAAAAAGCCTGGCAGCACTACAATAGAACATCCACCCGGCCACATTTGGATGTGCCCCCCCCAAAAAAAAAAAAAAAAAAACAAGCAAGGGAGCACCTCTGGAAAGGATACCCCCTCGGTTGGTGGTTGGAGATTTGAAGCCCTCACAGGGTTTCTGCTCCTTCCAGGTTTCATCTTTTCAAGTTCCTTGATTTGGTGAGATTGGAATGGGTGACCTTGTTAACAATGGCGTTCTGCAGGTCACCCGGGTCACCCATTTCACACCAGTGAAACAACCCGCATGACAGGGCCTATGGTTTACTCTGCCAGGGGGTTCGAGGCCAAAATATTGCCTGGGGCCAGCAGGGAGTGAAGCCCCCTCAACCCCTTGCCACGACGGCTCACGTGGGAACTAAACCACGAGTCAATTCTCAAAAAGTGGCAGCACCAGAGCAAGGAACTGATCGTATCAGGAGTTAATTCTAGAGAAGCCGGACGGCAGCAAAATTGCACGGAAAATGCATCTAACCCTTTGATACCTGAATATTGAAGAGGAGGAATTGAAGCAAAGAAGTTATTTCCAGAAAAGGAGGCTGCTGAGAACGAGCCGCTTTGCTTTCCCAAGGCAACTGCCTTCAAGCTTGTTAGCTCCATTGTGATGGCCGATGTTCAAAACAACGGGCACCCAAAGAGGCAGTTGCCCAAATGCTTCCAGGAATCCTATGCCTCAGGACTAGCGAAGCCTCCGAATCTTTGGCTCAAGGTTTACAACAGCCCTCACCGCAATCCCTGTCAAACACTCTTCCCTGCAAATCGACCTGGAACCCCACACTAAAGGTCTCATCAAAAGCAGCTTTTGCCTTTTGTTTTTTGTTTCTTTTTTCTCGTGGATTCATGCTTCATCTGCGAGCGCCCTGCAAACTCACGCGGCCAAGCCGCTGAGTCCGTCGAACTCGCTGAGCCGCAGACTGGGTCATCCTGCCGCACCGAGGAGCTTGGCCACCCGCCTTCTGAACCCTTTGTGAAATGCAAAGCCAGCTCGGATGCTGAACGACGTTTCTTCCAAGCGGCCCCCCTCATGAATCACTAGGAGTCACCAGCCTAAGGGTCCCGCCCGCACTGCCTGCGGCTTCATGTCCGGCGGAGCCACCGCTCGGGCGGGTGCCTGCCAGCGCAAGCTCAACGGCTCCGGTCCCGGAAAGACTTTCCCACGCCGCGGGGCGCTGGCATTCACCATGGGCAGGGGCCAGCAGGCCTCTCCAAAAATTTGGGACACCCAAAATGATTCGCTATCCTTTGTGGTTTGATTCTGTGGCTTCTATTTTTGTTGGCCAAAAGAGTGTTCGGCCCAAAACAAGACACTACACGTTGACAAGTAAACCAGCCACAGGAGTACATGTCACCTTCATGCCGCTTGCTTGGTGCTTGCGTCTTTGCTTGCTAGTTGCTCCGCTTGCTCCGCTAAAGCATGCCTTTACAACACCGAAGTCAAGCCTCTTCAGAAGACGGTCGCTAGTCACAACAAAGGCTAGTCACAACAAAGGTTAGGGTCATTTGTGGAAGGACATGCCCATTGCACCAGTGCTTTCGGTGGGAGCTGGCCTGGCACATCATCGCCCGGCGGGCTCGCAAGTCATCTGACGCGTGGCATCTGGATGACCCGAGCCTGTTTCCACTTTGGGGGCTGCTTGGGTGAGCATGCCAATGAACTCTCGTCCCAGCCAAAGGTTGGGAGAAGTATAGGCTGCTTGGGCGCTGGACAATTTGTGTTGCGACATCTTGTGCCCCGCTTGAGTCACTTGACAGCCTGTGCACCCTCCCAGCTTGAGCACAATATTCGCCCAGTGCCCATCCTTGCAATCCGGCAAAGAAAAACTCTTGGCACAACCCACGACTCAGTTGCCGGCGCGAGCAATGATCAACTACCAAGCTCGCCGTTGTTCCATGCGGTGTAATACACTATGCCAGTTGATGGACCCTTTCATGCAAGAGTATGTATGCCGTTGCATGCCAAAAGCTTAACTACTTGGATTGGATGGAGATCGCAGGGCGCATGGACAATCCATTGCGCACAAGCAGAAGCACGCTTGTATGCTTGGACAAGCAAAACGACATAAGCAGGCAAACAAAAGTCGTGGTTCCCGTTTCTCGCCGGGTGGATTTGTTAGAGGTGGGTTCAGAGGCTCTGACCGCAGGCTCTCCTCCGGTGCCCCCACTGGTGGGTCCAGCAAACCTGAGCCATGCTGGAGCCAAAAAAATCAAACCGGAGCCCAGAACGCGGGCTACTCTCCCCCCCGCCAATCAAATCAACGACCCTCCAAGCCACCCTTGAAAGATTGGAGGTTCCTCAAATGAATTATGGGTGCTCCGCAACGCGCGGTTCCGAACCGCAGAATCGGAACTCCGAGTCTCTCAAGCCCCCCGGCAGCAGCAGTGCTGTGGAGCCCCAAGTGCCTGGGACCATTCCTGGCGGTCCAAAGTGAGAAAATCTGAACCTCCAGGAAACTCTGCGGGTGTTTGGCGAAACCCACACGTTTTGACAGGAAGTGGAGGAGATTTGGCCTTCAAGTGAGATGGGTGCGATCTGGCACATCTCCACCGCAGGTCCGATGGTGGACAAACTGTTTGTGGACAAACATTCCAAGCTTCCCTTTCGGGGGAGTTGAAAGCTCTACTGATGACTGGACATCTGCTGAACTTATAGGGCAGTTGTCTCTCTCTCTCTCTCTCTGAATCATCCGAGAGGGGTCTGTAGCCACCAAAAAAAGATGGGCCCCCTCCCAAATATTCCTCGCCCCCCCCCCCCAACCCCCCCAACCCCCCATGGATCCCCCCGGCCTTCGCGCACCAGGGAGGAACAGCTCGGCCCAGCTTCTCGCAGCGCTTCAGCGCCAGCTTTGTGAAGGACCGCACCGCCGTCTTCACGTAGCCATGCTGGGCAGCTCGCTTTTTTTTGTTCGATAGGGAAGGAGAAATGCAATGACCCGAAGAAGAAACTGTCCTTGTGGTTTCCGCTGTCTAAGGGAGTCCCCAGGTTCATATTCCCAACACCCGAAAGGTCAGTCCCTACTGAGCACCAGCAAGTCGTACAGGTTGCATGGCTGCCATGCCCATTCAATTAATATCGGAAACGTGCGACAAAAGTCTCTGACATGTGGCGATTTGAAGTCCCCAGGTGATGCCTTCATCTTCAGCTGCGTGTCGTAGTCCCACCTGAGCAAGCTACCGGCTCCAACTGGTAGGTTTAAGTTTATTTGGGGTCCTGTAAACAAATTAAACTAATCACATTTGACCATAAACGGATTTCACTGCACAGCAACCAAAGAAGGAAGTCGCCGCAGTCTCCAAAAAAATCCCTCACACCCCGCGCACACACACACACACAAGTCGTCACACAACTGTCCTTTGCTCGGCACCTGGCCGCAACAACCATCCTATCGCACCCTGCTCTTGCAAGGTGGCCTTCTAGTTTCTGCGCATCAGGCAGGGCTGGGCCAGACTCTGGGCACCAGGGTCTAGTCCTCTGAACCCAACCCCCTCCCCGCGCGAGGCAACTTGCAGCGAGCACACCGATTTTCGAGCAAGGGGCCGCATCAGGGGCGCGCTCTTCTCAAGCGCATCGCCATCAAAGCTGCGCTTCGTGTTCTTGATGCGATCCCTGGTCCCGAAGCCGGAAAAGACTACCCTACCAAGGTGGACAATTCCCGCGACTACTTTGTCACTCACCCTTGGCATCGCAGAAAGTCGCCCTGAAATCAATTCCCCACAACCGTCAAGCCACGGTGGACCCGCCGGATGGTGGATTCCTTCAAAAGCATGTGGAGGGCAGGAACACCCGGGCTTCTTTTGAAGGTGCTTTGGCCTTTTTGGGGCATTCTGGGGCTCCACGTGAAAGTTCAAGGACATGGGAATGGAGCGAAATGTGTCCGCATCGGGCGCCTGAACAACAGCCCTGAGCCGAATGTTGCTCATCCATGAAAAAGGCATGTTGCTCCCCTATGTGGCAGAATATGAGGTCGCACATTCTTCTTCGGTGCTTCTGCTTTGAAACTCCGCTTGGCGGGTTTCAGCAGGAATCCGAAACGAGATCCACCATTTTCAAAACAATCACCAAAAAAAAAGACAAGGTCTGGCCCAACCTTCGCTGGAGTTGCCTGCCATTCTCTGGGTTTCCCTCCAGGCGCCTCAGCTCTTTGAGGATCGGGATCTTCTCCCCGCCCTTCTGCCGCTTGGCGTCCGGCAAGGACCTCGGCTTGGCTTTCCGCCCAAAAATTCGGGGCTTGGGGAGGGATCCTTACGATATACACCTGAACATTGCCTCGTAAATGGCGGTGTCCCTTTATTTGTGTTGAAAAAGCAACGTGTTTCAAAATGGGCAAAACGCATCTTTTAAGGAGCTGTTGGGGAGGCTAGGTTTGGGGCTCAGCTCAGCAGCCCGCGCCTTTGCCCCTCTGCAGAACTCCCTCAAAGCCACTCTTCAGCGGCTCAAACGACGACCCGGCAGAGGAGGCTGCTGTGCGCCACACATGAATCGCACCAAGCGCTTGGCTCGCTGTCCGCGTGACGCTTCGCAGCTTGGGGCTTTGCCTGCAGCGGGCAGTGGGCAACCTCCCAGGGTGGGCCTGAAATGAGTTTTCCTCCAAGCGGTGGACCCGAAAAATCGCTGGTCCCTTCTTGGTTTCCTTTCGGAACCTAGTTCAAGACAAGACAATGTTCATCAAAAGCTTGCCATGGGCTAGCCAAGAGGAACCACCTGGGCGCACGGCCTCTTTGCTGGAGCGCACCTGGCGCCAAACTCGTGCACCAACACGGCCAAAGCAAGGACTGAAGTTGGTCGCACTCTGAAACCGATGGTTCGCCCAAGTGAGCAGCACCCAAAACCATCATTGGCCATTCCACTAGGTGCTTCTACTACTTGGATCAGTTGGGGCTGCAGCCAATGAAGCCCCCAGGTTCCTTTAACCCGACCACAACAGCTACGGGCCGCACGGGCCCAAGGGGACGAGCGCGCGCACGGCCGGACGGACGCGCGGCTTTCGCTGCGTTCCCCGCCTGCACGGCGGCCTCCTTGAAGGCGAGGCCGTCAGTGAGGAGCTTCGAGGCGTCGGCCACCGCCACGAAGGCGAAGTTCCAGGGCCTCGGGTTGGCTTCGGGGTGGAATTGGGATTGGGGAGGCGGTTGGGTGTTGGGACATTGGTGGGGGAGGGACGGGGTGGCGGGAGTTGTCTGTACGGCACGGACCTCTTTGATTGTTTCTTTTTTTTTGGTTTAATTGATTTGATGGGGAAGCTAGGCGGGTTCCCATTTCGAAATGCCACGGCTTCGGAGTGCTTGGGAGAGATGCAACCGGACGCTGCCCCAGAAGCCGCACTGAGCGGTAAGCCTCTTCTTGGTGACTTTCTCCACGCTCACCTGCACCTTGCGACACATTGCAACTGGCACACTCCCCCAATCGCTGCAAACAAAGGAAGCCCAATGAAGGTCAAAATGAGGTCCACCACAGGTTACCTCATCAATTGGATGTTCATTAGATTTTGGTTGGACCACGTGGTGGACATATCAATCCCCGAAAATGAGTCACAATCAAAACCCGGTACTAAAACGGCCTACCCAGAACCATGCTTCAAGAATTAAGAAGGCGGATATCCGCAACTATTTCTGGCTGGGGCTGCCCCTTACCAACCTTCATCTATCCCCGGGATTTTTGATGGTGACTCAAATGAACCACACCTAATCAATTGGATGTTTATTGGATTTTGGTTGCACCACGTGGTAAAACACATAAATCCCCCTCATTTTGGGGCCAAAAAAAAAACCGGATCCTCGGTCCAACCACCAGCTGCATCCCCAGCCTGCGTCTGCAGCCACTTCTGGATCTGCTGCGCCTCCTGGCCTGGCGGGGAATCGAACCTGCCTGGCGTTTTCCATGGCGAACCGGTGCCAAGGGAGGCGCTGCCTTGGTTGCTGTTGATCCTGCAAAAAGTTTATTAAACTGTTTGGGGGATTCGTGGGAAACGCCTGTATTTCCCAAAAAATTAAAGTCTAAAGATCCAACCCAATAGAGTCAAGCTGCGAAGTGATCAAGGTCACTTGGGGCGGGAATCCCGCTCTGCCCGGACGAAAAAGCTTACCTGGAACCTCAAACTTCCCCCAAAAATCTGGGATAAGATCCCATTGCTCTGGGATAAGACCCCACCCCCAAAAAGAATCCCCCTCCACAAGCAACGGAAGCCCCAGCCTTTGAAGGCCTTGCAGCTGAGGTGGAACTCCTCCTTGCCCGGCTCTGGCGCCCTCGAAACCCGCGGGTCAGGCAAGCTGCCGCTGGGTCAGGCAGCCACCCTCAGGCCCTTGAAAGGCACGTTGTTCTCTTTGGGTTTGGTAGGCAACATCCCTTTTGAGGGTAGGCTTGCCAGCTGAGACTCCAGCTCCGGCTCAGCCATGGCGCATTCATACGATGTCAAGTCAGCCGTCGGCGTCTGGGTTCGAGGGCTGGGTGTAAGGGCTTCAGTGGACGGATCTTGGGACATCGCTTGGCCGTTGCGGGAAAAAATGCAAAGAGGTATGCCCTCCATGGTCTGGGGGCCTCTTGCTGCTGGCATCGCCTGCATGGAAAGCCACACAGCTGCGACCATTCAAGGCCATTCACACACTGCCAAGAAAAAACACCGAGAAACACGCCATACTGCCCTTCCTCTTCCTTTCCTGCTCCCGCACCCCCTCGCAGTGTCATTCGCCGAGCACTGGCCTTCATAACTACGCGGGTCCAGGAGGCGGACCCAGAGACGGAACACAGCCTGCGCTGGATGGATAGTGCCTTTGCTACCTTTGACGGGCCCTCTGGCTGCAATGCGTTCAGCTTCCTCCAGCACGGGAACTGACTCCCTGGACATGTCTGAGGCAGGCGTCGAGGGGCCAGCCTCTGACTTCGCACGCCAACGAGTCACATACAAAAAAGAGCCCCTTCACCCTGCTCAAAGGAAAAACAAACTAAAACCGTGATCCTCAAGCACAAATCCAACCACTCAAAACCATCTTGGCACACCCTGGCCCTCTCGGAAATCTCCAAACTGCCCTACCTCAGCGCCCGTCATCGGAGTAGTCGTAATCCGACTCCTGGGGCTTGGGCCATCTTGCCTCATGATGCAACCAATATTAACTCTTCTTATCGTCTCAACTTTTCAGCTTGGAACTTTCTGTTCCTGAGCACTTGGAGGCTTGGCCAATGCCAATCCATCATCCCTACGAAGCAGCCCAGTTTTGGCCTTTCTCTGCGCCATCCATCCTTCTTCTCATATTTTTCTGGGCCATCCATCCTTCTTTTCATATGTTTCAACCTTCCCCTGAAGGGGGGCAGGTACGTTCCTGCCCGGGAGGCTCCAGTTCTCCGAATTTTTGAACCCCCACCCCCCACTCCTCGTCCCGGCGGCGGCGCCTCCGGCGGCCGCCCCCGCGGCGGCTGCGGTCCCGGCGCCGGCGGCTGCGGTCCCGGCGCCGGCTGTCGTCCCGGCCGCGGCGGCGCTCGTCAGGTCTGGGGGTGCCGCAGGAGAAGCAGTTGTCCTTCCAAAGTTGTCAGGTTGATCCACCCCAGGTTAAGAAACGGGGGGACTGTCGACCTGGGTGAAATGTGGGGAATCATCACTACAGGATTGGTTGTCATGTTGATCCACCCCAGGTGGCTGTCGACCTGCTTGAAAAATGTGGGGAATCATCACCACGAAAAATTAAGGTAAAAGAGAAAAGTGAGAACCAGGACCCAAAGCAAAATTCGAGATGACTTCAAAGGCCGTGACGGGGTTTCTTGACAGATACCTCCAAACCACCCTGAAGTGGGTGGTGCACCTACCCCAAAATGATTTTGACCCACAGCCAAATCCTCCGAATGAGACCCGGTCCTTGGTGGCGAAGACCAGTTTGCCGCAGCTCCGGCAGTTCCAGTCCCCGTCGCGCCGCTCGATGGCCCCCTTGCCCCCGGGGTTGTTCACCACGCCCGTCACCCCGCCGCGGCCGGTCCAGGTCAGCTGGGTGTCGTCTACTCTCACACCCATGTCCTGCCAAACCACACCAAAAACAAAAAAAACAAAGGCGCGTCTTGCTTTGAGGGTCCCCTGTTTTGGGCAGTGTTCATGGAAAACCGCAGGAAACCACCAGCAGGCAATCAACCAGGCAGCAGGTAGGCAACTTCCCGGACAGACCATCGAGCAGACAGCCAGCCAACCAGGCGCGCAACCCATTTTTGGGGTGCCCCTATCTTCAGTCAAACCCAAAAGGCTTGATGCCTCATGGCCAACGACACCAGCCAGGTGGCCAATTCAACAGCTTTCCCGGCAAGGGCATCTGTTAGTAGGCGATCCGACTGCTCTTGACACCTTGACATGTGCAAAATCCGCACAAACCAAAGTCAGAATAGTCTCCCCAGCTAAAGGACCGACATCATGGTGAGCTTGTTTCGCCCCCGCAGATCAGTCAACTTGCCATAGGCGAACATGGCTGTCAGTCCTTGAGCTCCTCCCTCATCCTGTCTGCCTGACGGAAGGCTTGCCCAGAGGCTCTGGGAAGGGCACGCCCTTTTCGTGCCGACATTTTTCGCACCAAGATCCATGCCTTTACCTGTGCTTCCAAACCCTCTGATTAAAGTTGGGGTTTCGAAATCTTTCAGTCTTTCAGCTACGAACGACTTCCCGGACCCTCGAACCCTTGAAAATGACAATCTTGAGCAAATCTTATAGAGTAGCCTACCACTCCTGAGGCCAGTTTGGTGCTTGACCCGCTCGCTTCTCGCCTTGTCGAAGTCGCGGTCCCTGCGTGCGGCCTGCCGCTCATCCACCAGGTCTTGGATTCGGTCCGCATCATCCCCCGCCGAGCGGGACCGGGAGTCGGACCGACGCCGGCGGCCCATCCTTGGGATTTCGGAGGGCTGTCCTAGCCCTGACCTGGAGCCAAGAGAGTCACCTGAGTCGGTCACCACAGCTACCCAAAGATGGTTGTTCAAGGCCAATCACAAGCCGAAACTTCAGGGGATCTTTGTCCATTTTGGTGTGCCCTACTGGCAATACGTGGGCTCAACTTTAGCAGCAATCCTGGACCACTGAGGAACGGGGACATCTGAACCCGGTACACCGACTTGTTCGCGTGATTCACATGGGTGCGTCCTATGCTCAGACACATGAAGCCGACATGCTGTTCCTGACTAGGTTTCCCGCTTCCTGGGAATCTGCCAAAAAGCAACTCGCCCGAAGCCGCTCGAAGCCGCTCCGCTTTTGGTTCCTTTGCGCACCTCACAGGTCCCCTTTTGCGGCACTAACAACTTTGCGTTGCGATGCCATGGGCCGTTCAACCTTTGGGGCAAGAAGCCAAAACCTTCCCCGGACACGGGCCGCTGTTCATGGCCCTCCTTTGGGCAGGCGGAATGCGACATGGCGGTGGAATGCAAAAACGCCTTCCTCAACAAAAACAGAAATGAAACATCTGCCATGTCTATCACTACCCATCACAGACCACAACATGAAGCCACCAAAGGGACTCCCTGGATCTTGCAAATCCCACAACTCCGACGTATTCTTCGACGTATTCTTCCGCTGCCATTTATCGAGCATCTCGGGTCGTTCCAGCCGCCTGGGCCTCGCAGCTCATTTCAGCAAGCCCGGCCAAGTCTCCTTCTCCTCAGCTTCCGCCCGCCCGAAACCCCCCGTGACAAGCCCCAGGTCGTGGCATCGGCATGTGTCCATTCTGACTTGAGCGTCCGAGGGAAAGCCAAAGCCAGCGGTCATGGACGTTGGAAAGATCGTGTGCTTGCGTCGGCGCAGCCAACTTATCAAAACGTCGGCTGTCACATGGTGCAGCTTAAACCGCTGGCACGGCACTCGCATACAAGGAGACGGTCCATCGTGCTGAGCAAAGGTCACCCTGTGCTCCGTTGTTTGCTCTGCTCGGGCCAGTGGTGGGCTTGTCAGTGATTAAATAAGAGTGTTGTTTGCTTGCTTAGAGACATCCTCGTGCGCATGTGTGTACATCATTTGTTGCTGGAAGTATATTAAGTAGGACAGACCTCTCTGTTTCATCTAGCGCCCAGAACTTGTCCCCAAAATAGCACCGCCACACGCCCCATCCGCAAAGCCAAGCGCAAGGTTGGCCACAGCGGCATTCTGCTTGGTGAGCGTGAGATTCAGCTCTGTGCCTCCGTTCACCAGGTACCAGGTGCAGCAGTCCGTGTCCACCTGACCGTGGGCGCTTCTGGTTTTCAGGGTGCCCTTTTTCTGGATCAGTCCAAGAGGAAGCCAAAAGGCAAATCCGCCCATGCCGCACTGACCTCATCTTAAGGCGGCTTCGCAAGGCCCAACGCGCGCCTTGCCACCCAAAGATCCATCAAGCAGATTTTTGCCTGAGAGAGACGCGGACGCTCGGACCTCAAATTGAAGCCCTCAATCTACACTTAAACAAGTACTGGATCTTGTCCAAACAAATGTTCCCCTTCTTAAGGGTAGTTCAAGATGCTCTGCTGCAAAAAACAGTGCAGCGGCTGTTCTCATGCTGCCTTCAATTGCTTCCGCCGTTGCTGTGATGCCTGGCACTGCCTCGGTCCTTTCCCCACTTGACATTGAACCAGTGCCTGTGCCATCAACGGCCCCTCATTCACCCGCTGCCATGCCACTCAGGCCCCTCACAACAATGCCATGGTGTTCTCGTCCTTCAAGCGATGCCCCGTGTCAAGACAAACCTTGGTTTTCCTGGATGAAGCCCCACTTGCAAACAGCAAGGAGGCAAGGAGATCACTTCCTGGGTTCTTGAGTGGGCTGGCCAAATAAGTCTGAACTTCCTGTTTATCACCGAGATGCCTCGGGGAGTGAGCTATTAGGTTGCAACGGCTCCTGTTGTGTTTCGGCTCCGAACCAATATGGGGGGGTTCATCAAAAGGTCCTTTACACAGGATGACCATTGGGGGATTCCACTAAAAAAATGTGTTTTTTTTTCACATGGGTAGAGTTACCCATGGTCATCTAGGGACCCGAAATGGACTCTTCATCAACCCTCATTGACATACCGATTGCTAAGCTGCCAAGGGCCAGCACCGAGATGGACGCTTGCTTGAAACCAATCTTCACCTCAAGCCGCTCGCTCACCACAAATGGGGGATGTGAAGAAAAAAATACCCCGGGCAAAAATGCAATGGCCCGTGGCTATTTGTCTTGCCTTTGAGAGCAACTTGAAAAAGGTACCCTCAAGAAAGGACAGGACTGCGGGGATTGCCTGGGCCTTTCCACTGTGATACCTGACACGCCGCCTTCTCAATGACTTGTTTGGCGCTGCGCCTGGCTGGCCATGCCTCGTTAAGTTGCATTCCCTCAACTGGCACCAGGATTCCAGGAGCCTACCCGAAACCTTGCCGCACCTGCTTCATGCCCGGCAGGCTTGTGATTGTGGCCCACGGCCCATGGGTTGGGCTGTTTCCCTGGCAGACATGAATCTAAACCACTGCGCTTGAAACATCCGTACAAACATCCGGCGGAAGCCGAAATTCCACCAGCCCCCCCCCCCCCCCAGCCCCCCGCGCCATGCCTTCCACAGCCGGGAGAAGCCCCTGCCCCACCGCCCCACAGCCGCGCCCTCTGACGAGCCGCGTCCTTCTTGGTCACCGGCTGCGGCAGCTTGAAGGCCACGTGCACCTCCTCGCCTCAAGCGCTCGGACGGCGGAAGCTTCCGCTGCAGCTCGGACTTTCGGACTCGGGGCTTGTCCCTGCATGGGGCAACCAGCCGCTCAAAGAACAAAGCAACCCTGACAAAGGGCGGAGATGCTTGTGAAACCCTAGGGGAAATATTGGGAGCCCCAGTCGAATTGGCCCGACGCTAAGGTTGAAGCCACGCCAAACATCGAAATAGCGGCCCTTCACGGGCAAACGGCTCCGTTTTCAGTCTGAGCCGCTTTGAAAGTGGGTCGAGGGGTTGCCCTACAGCTTGGAAACATTAGGTGCCTTGCGCCAAGCCTTGGAAGCCGGCCAGACAAGCAACACGAATCCCCTCGAAGGAAGCCTTCCTTTTTCGCGTGCCAGCCCGTTGCTTTGGCCTGGCTACCAGCTGAGCTTCGAGCCCTTTTGGCTCCAAGTGTAACCGTCCTTCCGAGGCGGTGCGGCAAGCTCGTAAACTCCGGAGAGGAGAACAAAAGGAAGCAGCACATGTCAAACACTTTCTGACTTCCGTTGTTGACATGTGGGCAGCCAAAAAACGACTCAGCCAAGGAAGGCAACCAGAAAAAGCCAGCAAGCACACTGGAATGGAGACATAGCCGTGCTAAAGAGATCCGGGGGAGTGAGGAAAAACACTCCCAGCCCCCATTGGCCCATGCACTCATCCATGACTTCTTGGTCGCGCTCCTCTTCCTTCTCCACCTCTTCGGGTTCGGCCGGACTGGGCTCGTCCCCATAGCCTTTGCTCTTTCCCTGGCCCTGGCGACTCATCGCTCCCCAGCTGCACTTGGCATGGCCCACTCTCTTTGCATGGGGGAAGGTTGGGGTACCTGAAAAAAAAATGAAAGAGATCCAGATCTATGGGAAGCTGGCCAACCCACTCCCCTACCTCACTGCCCGCCTTGCCGCCGCCTTTTCCTCCCATCATGTTCTGCAACATCCTGGGCTCTCAGGCGCAAGGCTTGGCTTTTGGCTTTTCATAGGTTCGCCGGGATCTGCTTTTTCTTAGGTTCGGCCAGTCCTGATGCTCATCAGCTACGGGTACGTGTAGGGCGGGTCTAGGGTGGGTGGGTGTTGGGCGGGTTTTGGGTTAGCTCAGGGTTGGTTTGGGGTCAGTTTAGCATGGGCTTATTGTTGTTTAGGGTAGATGTACGAACCTTCGCCGGGCCGACCAACAGACGGATAAACCAACCGACGACCTTTTTTGGTTTTTTTTCCTGTTTTTTTTTTTCATGGCCCTGGGCTAAGCCAAAAAGATTGCTTGAGCCTTTCCTCGCCGAAACCAAGAGACAACTTCGGTTCTCGGCCCCAAAATGGGATGGGATGCCCCCGCCCCAGGTGAAACGTGCCTGCAGCATTGCACGTGCCAATTTTTGGGCCCAGGAACTCCATGTCCATGCCGCCAGGCCCGGCGTTCTCCTCTGGCAGCCTCAGATCGGGACGGGCCCAAGGGAATCCAGGCCTGAGACCGCAAGCTCCCCCGCACTCCCCATTTGTGGCATCTTAGCCTTTGGTAACAAACAGTCGGGAGATGCAGCAAAACCAATTCAGTAATGAAGGGGTAGCAAACATTGATTATTGCCTTTTCATGTTGATTTGTTAGGCTTACAGTAGGTTGCTTTGCACAGTGGCAATAAAAGAACATCAGTAAATGCCAGTGCGCTTGAAGGGTGAAAAGAACTAAAAGGTTCGAATATAGTGTGTGTGTGTGTGACCATATAGATGTGTATATATGTATACATACCTATTTACATGTATAAATCCTATGTATATATATATATATGTGTGTATGCAAGCTAACCAAACGGCACCACACACAGGCACGCGATAACTCTTTTATCCGAGCAGTGTGTTGGTGCCAGGGACTCATCTTCCCCTGTCAGATGACAAAGGCTGGGTGGGCCCCATGGGCCACCCAACTCACAATCTCAAAAACTGAAGAACGGGTGTGCAGACTGATAGCGCCCGCCCCTGAGCCGGGGCCCGTGGCACCCAGGCCACAGGGGGGTCTGCCACCAGGGGAAGTGAGTCACCCACCGGCTCCGGTCACGGGAGCATGGGTGGGCCCACGCTGAGATCAAAAGCGTCTCCATTCAGGAGACGCGGGAGAAAAACAAACTCCTCGCAGAGTTCCTGCTTGGGGACCCTTTGCAAAGGGTCGAACCCAGAGAAATCTGGGTGTCAGCTCATCAGCCCATTGATTGAACTCACGGGGCACGTGGTTGGCCGCCAGCGAGCAGCCATGGGTGTGGAGCAGGAAGACCAGCTCCATCAGGATCGCCGCCGTGTAGGGCTTCTTGGATCCAAGGTTGAGCATCGCCATGACGTTGCCCTGATTGTCACTGCCCACCGGGAGTCGGACCCGGGAGGACAGAGGGCCTTGGTGCGTGAGGATCATGTTACAGAGGAAGAGCGTGCCCAGCATCTCCAGAGCTGCAATCCGCCGCTTTGGATCCCCATTCTTGAAGGCCCAAGGGTACTCCTCCACGTGGATCTGCTCGTGGAACCAGTACACCTCCTTCTTGTCCGGCTCCACTTTGTTGGAGCACCAACCTCCCACAAATGCCAGTCCGTCGTCCGAGGCGCTAGCATCGCTGCAACCCCACCAAGAGGACTTCGGCAAGTAAGGGGAGTACTGGACGAAAGGCGTGTTGAAGAGGAACCGCAGCATGAACGCCAGCATCCTGACCACCTTGGGGGGTTTCCCCACCGTGGTGGTGGCCATCTTCCAGGCCCAAAGTGGCTGGAGCATCGACTTCGCCAGCGGACATGCAGCCGTCGCCCATTGGATGCGACCCAGGGCCTTCTCGATGTCCTTTGAGTGCATCGCCTGCCCTTCCACCATGGTCTGCAAAACCTCCATAACCAGGATGTGTTTGTTGGCTGCCATGAGGACCTGCGGGATGTTCGGGTGGACCACGAAACCCAGCCACGTGTTAACCTCCGCCAAATGCGTCTTCTTCCAGCTAAGCGGGGTGCCCAAGGCCAGGAGTGTTGCCAACAGCGCCACCGCCAAGTTTGCTGCCCCTTCGCTTCGAAGCAGCCACAGGAAGTCATCGACAAAGACAAAGTTCCAATCCACTTGAGGGAAAAGGGCGTAGAGGACCCTGAGCAGAAGGGCTGCCAGGCGTCCCCAGTAGGATTGGGCACTGGCCATGCCATATGTGCCTACCTTGTTCACCCACCATTCTTCCCCCAGTGAGGCCACTGGAACCGCCAGTCCTTCCTGAGGACCTTCACTCTCCGGTGGGCCTTGGTGACGTCCGCCTTGAGCAGCACCCACCTGGTGCCCGGCTCCGGCCATAGCCAGCCCCCAGGTGGAGGTTTGACGACCCCCCTCTCGGGGCCAGGGGCACCCTGAGAGGGGGGTCCCTCCGCAGCTGCCGCATGTAGCCAATGAAGAGCTTGGACCCCATCCAGCACCGTCGGAGCCGTCGTCCTTTCCACCGTCTGGTTCCTGATGGTGTCATTGGCCCCACCCACCGAGCCATCGTAGATCGTGCGGATCTTGTCCCCCTCGTCGATGCCCGCTAGGGGGCCGGGACAAAGGTCCTCGATTTCGCAGCCACAGCGCGATGCTGCCTCCACCTTACTGAAGGGGCCTCCTCCAGAAATGTGCCCCTGATGAGCTCACTGAAGTGATCCGCCGAGGGGTAGTTACCCCTGCCCGTTGGGTGAGGGAGTTCCTGGAACTCCGGCTCCTCCCCTTTCAGCTCCTTCTTGAGTGGCCAGATGCCCGGCGAGGTCAGGGGTGGGTCCGTGACCCCCAGCGTTCACCCCAAGGACCTTATCCACACCAGTAACACTGTGGAGCTGAAGGCCTGGCAGACAAAGACGGTCTCTGCAGCACGAATCAACCGCAACCCGGTCCCCCTGATTGCTCCGAAGTACAGCTTCACGGGAATCCCCTGGTGGACTACCTGGGTGGCCTCGGTGAGGCGGTTGGTATCCGAGGCGGCATTCCAGGACATGGATTACTTGCTCCCGACGGTGAGCAAGGACTTTGCAGGGCTGATACCACGGCCTTCCACACCGGAAAGGGCCCTGAGATGGCTCAAGGATGCTATTCTCCCCGGGGTTGGTGAAGCCGCTGTCATGGCACTCGTTCCGGGTGTTCATCCCGGACTGCGCTTTCCAGATGGGGATCCCGCGGGAGCGCCGCATGTACCTGGGCAACTGGCTCACGGAGAGCACGGCAGATGTCTACGTGCGGGAGAAGCGCAACGTGGTTGTGGAGATCTGGGGCCAGGTAGCGCAGAAGGTCCCCAACCTGAACCTCGGGCCAGGCAGGGAACGCAGGGAGGACTTGAATCACCCGGACTGGGCGGACCCGCTTCCGCCGCCAGCGCCGCGAGGACCAGACCGAAAAGGAAGGGGAGGCATCCCCTTCGGTACCCTCTGGGAGCGCGCCATCGACCCGCTCATGGTCAGTGGTGGAGCACGGACCCGAGGACACACCAGGGAAGGCTAAGGACCTGTTTCCCGCCACCCCGGACCTCCCCCTTCGGGTGGTGGCGGCGGTCAAGCGCACAGGCAACGCCGGCCAGTCCAGAATCCACCTGCTGAATGTCGAAGGCACGGCTGTGGGGTGTGGTTGGCGACCGGCGGCTTCCAAGGTCCAGGAGCTCTCGGTGCTAGACTACATGACGGAGCAGGAGGCCTATGGCAAGTGCGAACGCTGCTTCAAGAGGCATGGCTTCCCGGCGGACTGGGCACTGGAACCGGCGGAGGTCCCCACGCTACAGGAGGACTCGGACTCCTCGGCGGACTCGGGCTCTGAAACGGATGACTTGGTGGACACCCAGTCGGAGACCGAGGTGGTGCCCCCGGCCCTGGCGAGCAAGGGGATGGGAGGCCCGGAGCAGGCCATGGCCAGGGCCCTCAGCACAGACTGGCATCCTTCGGAAATGGCGGGTGTGCCAGACTGTCCTTCGGAAATGGCGCTATCAGTCTGCACACCCGTTCTCCAGTTTTTGAGATTGTGAGTTGGGTGGCCCATGGGGCCCACCCAGCCTTTGTCATCTGACAGGGGAAGATGAGTCCCTGGCACCAACACACTGCTCGGATAAAAGAGTTATCGCGTGCCTGTGTGTGGTGCCGTTTGGTTAGCTTGCATACACTTTGAAAATGTTGAAACGCATGTGGAAACATGAACTGTGTTGGCAATGCTTGACCACAATGGCGCATGCCATTTTGGCTCAAGCTTTGCCCTGGGTTCTCTGAACCCAACTTGTGTGAAAAACCCACCCACCCACACCAAGGTCGGAGGTCATGGCGGCCAAACCCCCGGAGGAGGTCCCCGAGGAGTTCAAGGAGGACGTGGCAAAGTTGCACAAGCCACTGGCGGCCCTCCTGGTGGGGAAGGAGATCCCCTGGGCCACCCAGGCGGCTCTGGGCGCATCGCGATACGTCACGGTGGAGGACCTGGCGGATCGCTGGGACACCCCGGCGGCGGCTAGGGAGAATGGTCCCCGGGACCTGGGATTCCGGGATGGGGAGAACGGGTTCAACGCCCAGACCTCGGCCTTCACGGCGATGCGCCTCCTTCAGGCAGTCCGGGTGGCAGCCAGGGCAACCAAGGCGATCACCCGGCGGGCCAGGCGGGCCCGACAAAGGCGCCCCTGGAGGTCCTGTGTGACAGGCGCCAGCTGGAGGATGCTTACGTGACCAAGCATGGGACCCCGAAGCCGAGGTTGGAGTTCCAAGGGAGTGATGGCTACCTCAAGAAGCAGTGGCGCATGATTGCCAAGGGTGAGCTGGGCTACATCCCGGCAAAACACATCGTGAGCGCGCTCCCGGAAGAGCCCCGAATTGACACCCCGACGGAGAATAGCATCCTTGAGCCATCTCAGAGCCCTTTCCGGTGTGGAAGGCCTCGGGATCAGCCCTGCAAAGTCTTTGCTCACCGTTGGGAGCAAGTAGTCCATGTCCTGGAATGCCGCCTCGGATACCAACCGCCTTACCGAGGCCACCCAGGTGGTCCACCAGGGGATCCCCGTGAAGCTGTACTTCGGAGCAATCAAGGGGACCGGGTTGCGATTGATTCGTGCTGCTGAGACCGTCTTGGTCTGCCAGGCCTTCAGCTCCACAGTGTTGCTGGTGTGGATAAGGTCCTTGGGGTGAACATGCTGGAGGTCATTGAAGCGAGGGGGAACGCCCCTCATCCACCCACAAGAAGATCACGGTGGACGGCTGGGACAGGGAGGATGAAGAAGAGGTGAGGAGCCACCCCACATCCCGGCGCCAGCTGGAACGGTTGCACCTAACCTTCAGGACGACGCTCCTGATGTGCACGGCGGCACTGCCACAGTTTGGCAACCTGAAGGTCACCAAGGAGGAGCTGGATGATTGGTATGCCTGGTTCTATGGGGAAGACATCGCCGGCAGGAAGCCTCCCCCGAGCGACACCACCTTGCTGTTTGCAGAGCG